TGTATTCATACGAAAGAGCAGATGCTTTTAATAAGGATATAAGGAAGTTGGGTTTGGCCAAGGATGGTCAGACATATATGGATTTGTTTCGTAAAGTTATAACGCATGTTGGTAAGTTGGATGATTTTTTGTTTGGTTCTTAAAGATATTTTGTAATTATTTTGGGTTTCAGGCAATGCCATGGGTTACATACGTTTGATACGTTCCGGTAGCATACATGCCAACTATAGTGCCAGTTTATATTTACCCAAATTTGATGAAAATCTACAATTTGTTGAGAAATGTAAGGGTCAACAGTTGAGTGAAGTTCTGCAAAATGCAGCTGAGAATCTTGAAACGAATATTCAAAATTTGGCCAATAGTTTTGCTGATAGTACGGATTATTTTAAGGTAAGTATAAATAAAAAATGTGAAGTATAAAAAAGAAAGAAAGCAGATGCTCGGAGACCTGTATCCAACATGTTCAACATGGGTATATGGAATGTTAGAAGAAGAGAGATAACATCAAAAAATGTTATGTGGCAGAGGATCTAAAGTTTTGGTGTATTAGCTAACGCGTCTATCAGAGAGACATTTCTCTCTCTCTTGTATTCCTCCCCGATTTTTTTTCTCATTTTCACAAAGATGTCAACACTTTATTCTACTACCATCCTGTTAAATCCTCCCTGAATTTAATGTCTACAACCTGTATATATTTTTGTAACTCACAATAATGTTTTCCTCCCATTTCAGTTACTCGTTGACGCCTTCCAACCATTTTTCCGCAATCCACACAATCTGCATTTGCGTAACTTCTTCCTTATTGTACCACCATTGATAATGAATTATGTCGAATATATGCTGGCTGTAAAATCGAAAATAAACAAAAAAGATCGCGAAGAAGCTGTCCTGTTCGATGATGGTTTTGCAGTTGGTTTAGCTTACATTTTAAAATTGCTCAATCAGGTGGGTGATTTCAATTCACTGCAATGGTTTACCACAGTACGTGAACGTTTCGAGGCCGAGCGTAGAAAAATTAAAGAAATGCTCTTGGAAATTAATCAAAAAACAAGTGTCACCACATCGAAGTCCAATACAAATGCTGCAGCTTTACAAAAGAATGAAAATGAGAAATTACAACAGACTTTAGTATTAACAGAGAGACGTATTAATGCTCATCAAATGGAATATAATTTATTATATTATAATCTGTGTAGTGCTAAGATATTTTTTCAATAGATTTATATATTATCTATATATTCTGTTTTATATAAAATCATTTATAGTTGGCAGTGTATGGCATGTTATATTGTTATAAGCCGTCACACTGTAAGAAATTATTCTTAGATCTTAATTGAAAAAAAAATTGTATACATATATTACTGAAATATTTTATAATGAATGATATGCAATAAAATAAAGAAAATATATCCTACAGCATTTTATAAGCATAGACAGCGCAAGTGGGAGGACGTAGATGAAGTGACTATGGCGTTATTTTCCAAAACACAACATGTAAAATGTTGAAGAAAATAAAAACATTTGTGAGCACCAATCTCCTATAGATGTGAGTGTCCCGGTATTTATTATCATGGGTACTTCTACAATCAAAATGAACTGAAAAAAAGAAAATCTTTAATATTCATATTTATTTCTAGGGTCCCCCGCTTTCGATTACAGCATAGGAATAAAATTTCTGAATCTCTGTCCGAAAACGCTGTAGTTTTGAACTTGTTAATGGTTAAATTTTGATGCTACTGAACATACAGTTTTCATAAAATTTCTAGACATTAGAATCTCCGCCCGAAAAAGCTGCATGTTAAACTTGTTAATGGTTAAATTTTTATGCTACTGAATATACAGTTTTCATAATTAAAAAATAAATAATGGGTCTAACACCCGTCATTGTTACTTGAACACCCGTCATTATAGACCACCTCCCTATTATCACCTCTATCATCAGGCCACCCGACACTATAACTTCTAACAATGGGGACGAGTTCAGAGAGAGTTCCTTTTGATTATCGGCTAGCAGCAAGGAATGTCCCGGTCATTATTACCGCTCACTGAGTTCCTGCGGTCGATTTCAAGGTGACCAGGTCGAATCGAAGTTTCCGACGATAGACGTTTAGGAAGAGTTCCATCTTGTATCTGTCAACTAGCAACCAGTGATCTTCGCTGGTACACTTGTCAGGGTCTGCTCAATCAATAACCACCACTCGCAGATATTCCGGAGCCCTTAGTCGGGCTTTGGATTCATGCTACCGCTCTTGGCAGGATTATCCACTAACCTGGCCGACGCGTATGAAGCGGTTTGCCGATCATCTTGCGTCTGCGTTGGCCTCTTTGCAACAAGGACCTCAACCGAGGACCTCATTCTCTTAACACCCTCTAGATGTATTCGAGTTTTCTACCCAGAGTTGCACCTGTCGCGAGTACTTCCAGCTTCGTATTTGCCACTTTTTAGATTTGGATTTTGGAAATTCAGCAGCAGGCTTGTTGTTAGCTAAGAGCGGGCTGTATTTCATCAGATTTACTGGAGACCTTTCTACGAAGTCGGCCCTTGACATCATCCTCGACTTCAGAGTGGAGGAAGGTGTCAAGGACACCTCAATATCAAAAAAATCTCTGGAATGTTTTAACCGTGCGATGACAGAACGATTATACAGTTTTTCTATACGAAAAATTTGTAAATAAATACCGTTGTAAATAAATACACTGTTTAACACATGGATAACGGATATGCGGCTACCTTTAAGTGTATAAGTCGATGGATTCATAGAGCTGTGAACCGCTAATTTCCTCAATATTCTAGGAGCCACCTCGCGCACATAGCAATTTCTACAGCAATAAACCGGCCTGTGGTAAACTATGCGTTTCAAGAGTGGTGGCTATCGTTATCACTGAGATCATGGTATTGTACTTGCTGGGTTGACTTGGTCGCCTAGGCATGTCAGGAAGGATCTTCATGAGATCAAGAGGCCTATAAAGCAGGATTGAATCGCATTGACACGGATGCAGTTGAGGAAGCAATTCGAGAATATCGTGTGAATACTATCCTCGGAGATCACCCGCCTACGATAGCTGCAAAAGAATAGCAGCTACCTCGACAAACCAGAGTGGTCTTACCACAGTTAAGATCAGGATGGTGAAGCCGCTTCAATTCATATTGGGCATGAATTGGTGGAGAGGTCGATAATATCTGCCCGGCAAGTGGTAATGGATCACATGACACGCTGCACCTATTAAACTGACAAGCCAAACCCACTCATTTAACCCCATCTTCTCTTTGGACTCAACCGATACCGGTCGCAGTGCTACAACAACAAAGGCTATTCAAATGACCAAAGTCAATACCGTTGCTTATTTAATATTCAACTGAATTCCAATTTTTTTTATTAAAAAAAAAAACTTAAGGCGGGTCCTCCTCCAGCTAGTCCACTTTCTATTAAAATAGAAGGTATAGGACCATACACCGTATGTAGACACCGTCTAAGAATCTTCCTTTTTTTTTGTATTATTTTGGTTGGCCCACTTTCTATAGGGATAGAAGGTTTAGTGCCATGTATCCGTATGTAGCTTAAGCTACGAATTTGACTTTATCCATAGATGGTGGTTTGTGTTTTTGCAGGTTGACTTCGATCTTCTTTAAAAATTTGACCACAATGTTTAGACTTTCTAAGCCTTGTGTATCAGTGAACTCTTCTACTGTGAAGGAGTCACATAGTTGCGAAAAGCATCTTCTTTTGTTATTAAATTTACGAAAATTAAAAATGTCATGCGCAGGTGTTTGGATTCTGTTGAACGACTCGTAATTTATAGGTTATCCGTATTTGAAAACACACGTGTTAGTTAAGCGAACGCTTAACAACCGCCATTTTGTAAAAATCTATTTTTAAGCCCATGGGCGTGTAATACTCATTTAAAATTTTACGTCTTTCTTGTGAGCCGTCCGAGGACGAACTGGAATCTTCCTTTTTGGATTCACCATCATCAATCTTTTAAACCATGGTTGTATTTCTTTAATATTTCCCCTTAACAAATAATGTTGCCATATTCACAAAAAGAAATTCCCACTCCCAACAAATGGCAATACCGTCTGTGTGCGCTCAACAGTTGCGCATGCGGTTTGGGACCTGTTTTAAAACACTTCACAAATTTGACAATTAAAACATTCCACAACATTTCTGGTTGATGTTTCCATTCAGGTGGCTACCATCGATGCAACAACCTCCAACTTGCTTTAGTTTCTTACGTTGACGTGCTCGTTGCTATCGTGTGTGTTATTGTGCCGTCGTCGTTCGCTTCGTGGTCTTCTACAACTTATTTGCGTGTGTGCTGGCTGGGCTATTATTTTTCATTCATTTTTATTTTTCTTATAACTTTCACTTTGTTGTATTGCCAGCCAGCGAGCTAGCTAGCCATCCATCCAGCCAGCCAATATAACTGGTGGTGCTACTGACAATAGTGGTTGTGTGAAATTTTCGGATTTGTTGTTTTCTCGAAAAATTTTCCCAAAACAAGGTCATTCAAAATAACAGAAATAAAACACCGAAAAATAAAAAAAGATCTACCTGCGCACAAAAATACGTGATCGGAAAATCTAATAAGAATTCGAATAGCTACAATTGGAATCCACGGAAAGAAAGAATCTAATGTTGCCCGACAAGTGATGATAAATAGAAAACATAGAGAATGGTGGTGTACAATAATTAATGGAACAAGCCATAGTCTGCAATTAATGGTCGAAGAGTGAAGAGTGATTTGTTGAAAATAATTGCTATCCATCGGATTGGTGGCTGAGCTCTAAAGTGAAAATAAAGAATTCGCTCGCTCGTTCGTTTTTTGCGTACACGCGTCAAAAACACGCCTACAGTTCAATTTTTTTGTATCCCAAACAAGCAAACTTTTTTTGCCTTGCAATCTTGGTGCTCGTTGGTGGTGTTGTTGTTATTGTTGTCGTAGTCAAAGTCGTTGTTAATGTTGTTGTTACTTTCGGACGGAAAACCATAAACAAGCCAACACGAAGAAAATATGACGTCAAAATATGAACGCATTAAAAACGAATGTCGTGCTCGTAATACTCTGTGGGAAGATCCCGATTTCCCGGCCGTGCAAACTTCCGTATTCTATTACCAAACCCCGCCGTTCACCTTCCAGTGGCGCCGCATCTCCGAAATAGCTGACATAAAAAATGCCTGCTTTGTCAATGAGTCGGAAAATTTCGATGTTATACCCGGAAAAATGGGTGATCGTTGGCTGGTTTCCTGTTTAAGTGTTTTGCACTCTTTACGCAATCTATTCTATCGTGTGGTCCCAGCCGATCAATCTCTGGACAAGGCCAATGGTGTTTTCCGTTTTCGTTTGTGGTGGTGCGGTGAATGGGTTGAGGTGTTGGTCGATGATCGTTTGCCCACCATAAATGGTCGTCTGGCATTTCTGCAACCACAATCGTCGAATTGTTACTGGGCCTCGTTGCTGGAAAAGGCCATAGCCAAACTGCACGGTTCTTATGAGGCCTTGAAATATGGAACACGTTCGGATGGCTTGAGTGATCTATTGGGTGGTATTGTTGAGTGTATACCGATCAAGGCGAATAGCACTACAGAACTGATACGCCCGCAACAATTGAAAACTTTGTTGGACACGACCTGCATTATAACGTGTATAGCAGCAACAAGTGCAGTAACGCAACATAAAAATACTCCGGAACGTTTACCAAATGGTATAACGTTAAATGTTAACTATAGGTGAGTGAGTGTGTGTGTGCATGTATATGCACTGCATACGGTGTAGTGTATGTGAAATGGTGTTATATAGATCTAATAATTGAGAGTGTAGGTGAACAAGTTGTTGGCAATTGAATAGAGGTTCGAACTACATATGTTGATATTTATAAAATAATACGAAGTGTGTACAGAGTGCAGGAAATGAAATACCAAATAATTAACAAAAAGTCTACCCTTCAACCATGAGGAATATAAATCCGATACTTGGATCAAATTGGATAAATACAACACAAATTACATAAAATTCGTCGAACAACTACAGGATAGTAATAACGAACCTTTTTTAATTTCGTATGCGAATACCAGGTTATACAGAACCCATTTGTTCAACATTTTCCGTTTTGGGTCTCCTTTCGCATTCTTAGTTGTGTCTATTTGTGTGAAAGTAAAAACTTTGCGGAGGATAGTCGTTTTCTTATCCTGGAAGTTATTTTTTTCGGGGCGAGATGAACATACGTTAATAATTTGTAGATACCAGAGTGAGTGACCAACTCTAGGGCCTTCGTATAGGTTTGTGAAAAAATATTGGATCAAATCGGATACTCCATTCTCCTTGATAATATAAATTTGATTCCCTCACTATGCTCACCATTTTTTGCGAAAAGGAGTGGAACCATAGCCCCTCAATTCCAACTTGATTTAATTTTAGGAGGAATATTTAAACGTGCCAAAATAGTGATTAACTTCGAGAGTTATCTTCAACACTAAATCGATAGAATCGATAGAACGGCGAATTCGCATATGAGTATTTATCTACGGTAAATATATGTTATTAATGTTGTAGCTGTTTTTACTACTGTGAATTTTTCTCAGCTCAATCCGGTTCATCATCTACCCCCAGGTTCAAAAAATAATTATGGGTATTCTCCGATTATTGCATTCAACCAGTGTTCTTGAATTTCTTCCTCAACTGAATCATTTTCAATATAATTCCATATTTTTTAATATGTCTGTTGATATAGATGCTATATTTTGTATCTCCAGACCTCCCTCTGGAGATCATGAATATACTTCCTGACATGCCTGATGCCATTCCATCAGGTGGTTGTTGTTGTAGCAGCTTGTTCTGCTGTGTATTTCTCTTTAATCTGATACTGCTCCTAACTCCATGTTCAAAGAGGCTGCGACCTATATCGGCTGTGTCCAAACTGAAGATGGGGTTAGATGAGTGGGTTTGGCTGGGCTGTTGTAGAGGTGTAGCGTGTCATGTGGACCATTACCGGACAGATAAATGTGGCATGCGCGCACGACTTATAAAGCCTATCGAATTTGAATTTAGTGGTGACTCGGATGGCTGGATTCTTTAACTCCCAAGCATATGTTCCATCGGCACGATCTTGTTATGTTGACTTCCAGGAAGGATCTTCGTCTCCTCATGTAATTGGTCTATTGGAGTCACGAAGAGACACCCTGTTAAAGTCATCAGAGCAAATTTGGTGTGAGGATTAATTTTTTTTGTTAAGTAATGGTATACTTCATTCAATGTTGAAAAACCCCACGTTGGCCGCCACCATGAAAACCATCAAGACAATTGATGTTCCGCGATACTTGGGAAGGATATGCAATTTTCTGTCTCTTCCGACTTCTCTACGATAACCAAATTACGAAATTCATTTAATTTTTAAAAAACTCCATGTTGGGCGCCATCTGTGGATGTTTTGGCATTCTCCGACTGTTTTAAATTAAAAATAAAAATTAAATTGAAAAAATTCTATTTAATTTTGAAAGTCCCCATCTTGGGCGCCACCATAAAACCTATTTCCGAGGTTATGAAATGACAGATCTAAATTGAAAGAAATTGTGATGGAAGTTCTGTTTTAAATTAAAAATAAAAATTGAATTGAATAAATTCTATTCTCGGGGTCAAATATTTTGTTGATTTAATTCGAATCTATACTAATTCAAGAATGTCCCTACAAACTTTCAAGTAAATTTCAAATGAAGATATAGCCGATTTATTGTATCAGCATCAAGTGACGGCTGAAAGGCTTCTCAAACTTTAAACGCGTTTTTCTCTAAACATTGGGTTTGCGAATGGCGGGCACGATAACTCAAAAACTAATAACACAATCGCTTCCAAATTTTTACACGTTGCTCTGTGAGTGTGTAGCTATCGTATGAACTAGGATAAAGCCAATCGGTGAAGATCTTCCTTTTTCAAATATCCGCCATTTTGTTAATTTTAGAGCGAAGTCAATAATCCTAGTTCATACGAGAGCCACCGTTGGAATTTTCGGATTCCGATGTTTCAGAGAGGAGTTATCATGCCCGCCATCAAAAATAAGGAATTTTCTTTCATCACAAAAAACAACAACAAAACAAGAACAAAATTTTTTAAATTATTATTCTTCTCTTTTAAATCTTCAAATATATATGTGCAAAGTTACAAACCTAAACAAGCATTGGAATTGATTTACAAGCCCATTGAAAATCTTGAAAAATTAAAATCGAGGGGGGGCGTTCCCTTAACTTAAATTTGTAGGCTTCCCATAAAGGCTAATATTACTAAAAAATAACAATTTGAGGACTTAATTGCCCGGATGGAAGCTCACCCAAATGTAGCACGCGGCGTACGGACTTTTGGTCAAACAAAAGCCACCTTAACTGCTATGGCCCACCAACACGCATTCCAAATAAATGGTACAGAGTGGCGAACATCTTCTTTTGGGTCCATGATATGTACGTCTGTGTCATCAATACATTCAAAAACAATCCAAATTTTACACAGTTTTTCCTCTATTAGCCGGACAACTTCGGCCAAAACCACCGACATTGTGGGTTGAACCATGCCAAGGTTGAAGTCATCGCCATGGGACTTTTAAAAACTTCCCTCCGCAAAAAATTCAGAGCTGCACACACTTTTAAGAGAGGAGGAATTGCTGTTGACCGCCGGGCTTTCGGAAAGCACGGTTTAAGGCTTTAATTAAGTACACAACGGCATCTTTTGGTAGCGAAAATACCCCTTCAAGCTAAAATTAGCAGTTGATTGAACATTTCTCTAAACATAAGCGTATACTCACAGTACGGATGGTAGTTCTAATGGATTGGATTTAAATCTTAAATCCCTTCTAATAGATGATACGCCTTGCACATCATTTTCATCATCAAAAAATAGTTTCAATGAGCTTATCATCACTTAAAATTAGTTTTACTGAAATATTCTATTAAATTTTTTGTTTACAATATTTCTAGTTGTAGAAGTGTCAAAACAGTATTATAGACAGCAACTGAGAAAAATTGATATTCATAATGTTGAGTTTTATTTCAGTGGCGTTGCCAGTTGACATCGCAACTGGAGTTTGGTTGCTATCCATAATCGACCCATAAGGCTTTCCACAGTTGAGTCTCCAAATATTTTTTAGTACTCATAAAAACTTATATGAGAAAGAAATACAATTCAGCTTTTATTACCCTCTGTCCATTGAAAATAGAACAATTATCGCAGCAGGTAATAATATCGATTTCACTTTTGTATTAGAAAATTGAATAGTCTAGATAGACAATATGCCTATAGACATGTATTATTTAGAATAATTGGCCACTCAGTTTTCAAAAAGACTATTAAAATTGACGTTTACATTACACGTGTTTTAGCGAGCAATTTGTTTGTTTATATTATTTTTCCACTCCAAACTTGCTTCGGGGCTCTCTTTACTTTTTTCCTTTTCGTTTAAGAATTTCTCTCTCTACTACAAAATATTTCACAAAATCATGTTTTTATTTTCGCCATAAAGGCAGTGTAGAACGACGTTGTTTTATGATAATTATCTATAATTTTTCAATCCAGTCAGAAAAAGCTGTGAAGTCTAACATAAACGTCATTTAGAGTGTGTTAATGTGCTCTTTAGTTCTTTCGGTTGTCAAGCATTGTTGCTAATCGCCGCGACTATGAAACGACAACATTTTAGATCATCATTCTAAATTTGTTTTTTAAATAATTTTCCTTATATGGGAGTTTAATTTGAAATAAAGCCATTATAGTAGGGGAAAATTGTATATTAAGGCCTACGATAGTAAAAAATTTAAACTTTAATACAAATGAACAATAATACATAAAATTTATAATAGTCTGGGTTTATACATGCAACTTTTGTAAGCTACTCTGCTGAGTTCTTAGAAGAGAGAGGTATAAAAAGTGACAAGTGGGAAGAAATACAAAAGAGAATCGAAGGGAGGAGCAGCACAGTTGCATAAAAAAGTTGCATGTGTAAATCCAGACATATTAGCATTTTTACGTCCAGAAAAATGTTCACAATTCGGAAAATAATGATTGTTCGGGTCACATATCCAAACATACATATCGTTGGGACAGACAGACGGACATGCATAAATTCGAATAGAATTTTATCCTGACCAAGAATGTGTATGTATATGTCGCCGAAAATATTTCAAGGTGATGTAAACGGAATGACGAATTTTTTACATACTTGTACTTCATCACAAAATTTTATGTTCTCAATCATATTTTCAGACAATTTTCACTTACCAATAATTGCATTTTTTGTTTGCTGTTACTGCTTGATTTGAGGCTTGGGTATAAAGGGCATCCGGCAAAAAAAAATTTCCGAGGATGTGTTTTCATGGTGGAGAATTTGTCGGTGCAAATTTCTAGAAATCAGTATAGTAATGAAATATCGTAAATATGAATTTGCATATAAAACTTACATTTCGTTCGCTATTCTTACAAATATTTTTCATGCCACAATATTTAGTTTTTTTTTTTAATTAAAAACATATTTGTTAAAAAAATATAAAAATTAACATAAAATTTCCAGCACACTGGGGTTTTAAGAAGTCCTGATTTATATTAGGCGAGTTTACTTGCGGCAATTTTTATAGTTCTCTTTTGAACTTGCTTCATTCGTCTGTACAAGACAAGTCGATTTCAAAAATATTTTTTTTACATTTTGTGATAATGTTCTGGATTGGTATTTCAAATTACTGACACTACAAACAAAATA